CCATAGTATGTACTTTTCATTCTTCAAGGGTTTAGAAAACACTTCAGTATTTTGCCATCCTCATTAAGGAAAAGGTGATCTGGTGTCTGAGGAGCTTGAAGCGCAGACTGAGACCGTGAGTCTTTGCACTGAAGGGCTGTCGGAGGAGGAGGAGCACTGACGTTTGGCAGAGAGGGGAAGCTTGGCATGGCATTTGTTCCTCCTGCGGAGCACACAGCATTATAGCAATTCTTTATTTTAAAAGGCACTGAGAATAAAATGATAGCTCTAATGCAACTAAATAAATAATACTGCATCGTAATTACACATCCCATCTGCTTTCCTGTGAGAAAAAATCAGTCACCAACAAGCTGGTTGTGAAATTACAATTTCACACTGAGCAAAATAAATGATGAACCAAAATTATTTACAAAGAGAAAAAGAGAAAGGGCAACCATTTTGGTTTAGCTGTGAATTTCAAGCTCAGTCAATTAGAGAAGCCATACGCTTATAGGGACACTTTATATGTCTGTGGAGAAAACAAGACTGTCTAGAACAGTGCTGTCCGACAGGACTCTGGTGATGGAAACGCTGATTCTGCATTCTCCAGTGGCAGTCACAGCCACAGGTGACACTTGAGCACTTGAAGTGTGACTAATGTGACTAAGAAACTGATTTTTTATTTTTCAATTGTTAATGTTAATTAACATAAGTTTAATTATTATAAATTTAAATTTAAATAATCACATGTGGCTAGTTACTGGATTAGCACAAGTCTAAAGAACACAAAGTCACAAAATTGAATGGAGTGACAAGTACATAAATCATGACAGCTAAATGACTTTTATGGTTCTGGTAAGTCCAAGTAAAAGGCTTTTTGATTTTTATTGGAAGGTATGGACCACATCACTGGTCTCAGACCATGAGGAACCAATTACACAGGAAAAGAGGAACAGATACAGAAGGAAGTAGACTGCACCACTCTAGTAAGAACTTTTAGTAGAGACTACATAGCAGTTAAAATATGCTAAAAAGTGTGAAAGTTAAAATGAAAACAGCTAGTTTGTTTGGCCTCTAGTTTGCTTTACAACATGATTAATGGTAACAATAATTTAGAGCAAGATGAGCAAGCTGATAACTATTTATGCAAGTTTGTATATGTGTATTACTTATTAATTTATAATATATTTCTTTCTTTGTTTTATAAAATAAAATAAAAGATTTTATTTATTTGTAGACAGAGGGGAAGGGTAGGAGAAAGAGAGGGAGAAAAACACCAACGTGGGTGCCTCACACGCCCTGCAAGTGGACCTGGCCGGCAACCCAGGCATGTGCCCCGACTGGGAATCAAAGCAGCGACCCTCTGGTTCACAGGCCAGTGCTCAATCCACTGAGCCACACCAGCCAGGGATTTACTATATTTCTTATCCATGGTGGTTTATCTGTGATGAGGGAGAAAGATTGGAAAACAAGTCCCCAAGATGCTTTCTTTCTAGAAAAAAGTCTGTGGCAGTTTCAGGAGTCTCTGACAAAGAGTTAAAGGTTGAGTTGTGAGGCTGATAAAGAAGGTTCTGAAAAAATGAGCCCCAGGAGACATCCCAGTCTTCCAAAGAACTGGGTTTGGTTGCCCAGGTGAGGGAGCAGGTTCTGCTATTGTGTGTTGCTCTGATTCAATACTCACCAGGCTGAGATCCCCATAAGCACCTTACTAGGGAGAGAAGTTGCTGACCCATTAACACAAATGTTCAGTTGATACTTAATCATTGATATTCCAGAGCCAGGTCGTAGTCCCTTGTGAGGTTAGATACTGTGATTTACCCACTGAAGCTCAATTGCCTCTGAAATACTAAGAATAAATGTGCCATGCTCTTAAACTCAGAGATCTGACCATGAACCATGATGGTTACAAACTAGGACTCCAGGTATTTCAGTGATCACCTGCTTCCTTCTGTAGTTCTGCAAAAGGAGGGACAGAGTCCTTAACTATGTCATTAATGATAACAGCACTAAGTTCCTAACTGGTGCCAGGTACTGTTCTAAGCTTCCTGTACTGATCTAACCTTCCCTCACTCCTATGAGTGGTTATCAAGTGGATATTCTGTGAAGTGCATAGCCTTACATCCTCAGTGGGTACACAGAGGTTAAGAAATTTGCCTCAGATCATGGATGGTGGGTGATGGATGGAGTGAGAATTCAGACTCTGGCAGTTAACTCCAGAGCCTTACTCTTAGTTGCTGAATATCTTGCCTTATACTAAACATTGCCTTCTAAGGTCATTTCTGCTAGTAATTTTTAATGCAATCATTCCGCAGGAAGTTTGCCTTGTGTTACAGCATCATGAACGGACTTTCAGTCAGACATGGGAATACTTGGGGCAGGCAGAATATAGTTGTATTGGTTGTTTAAGCCATATCTTCCTATAGCCATCTTCTTAGCTAGTGTTCCTTTTTGTGAGAAGGAATGGAGATCAGAAAACCATATATGCATGTATTCTTGTGTGTTCTGACAAGAAGAATATTAAGAAAAACAAAGAGAGCTTTTTGTTTTAACTGTATACCAAACATCCTTCTCTCTGTCTCTTTTATTACCCATTTTAACCAACAGAGGAAAGACTAATGAAAATAAAAATCTCTGACATCCACTAGAATGTTCGTGGCTGCACAATTTATAATATCCCAAATGGGAAACCACTCAAAATGCTTGTCAGTGCTAGAATGAACAAGTAAACGGAGGTATTTTCATACATGGAAATGTTATACAGCAATAAAAAATCATAATTATACACAACAGTATGGCTAAACCTCAAAAATGCACTGTTGAACAGAAATCAGGCAAAAGGGAATACACCTTATGCTTCCATTTACATGTTTCAAATACTGGTCCCACCACATGATGATATTGGAGTCCTTGGGGGTCCAGAGGGGTTTCTGGGGGACTGCTCATGTCTTGTTTGTTTTGTTTTGTCTTGTTTGTCTTGTTTTGTCTTGTTTGTCTTGTTGTCATGTATGTCTTGTTTTTTGATCTGGGTGCTGGTTACCTGGGTGTGTTCATTGTGCAAAAACTAAGTGAGCTGTAACTTTTTGTGCACGTTTCTGTATGTGCATTATGCTTCCATAAAAAGTTCATAAATGGGAGCAAAATAGAAATCTTTGGAAGCAATGCTTTCAGGAAATATATAAATGTAAAACTGCCATTAGTTGATACAAAAAACTTATTTTCTCAAGCAGTTATGTATCCCTTTTTTAAATCAGGTTTTCATTTATAATTTGTACATCAAACCCTGCCTAGACTTTGAAGATGTATACCTTGTAACACATTCCAACTTCAGATACCTTAAATTGTAATATACTGTTTTAAAGTACTAGAATTTACAAGATAGAAGAGTGATTAGATATTTTAATAGTACTCTGTCAACTTTTTAGCAAAAAGTCTGAATAGGGGAAAGGCGGAGAGACCCTTGGGAAAAGTAGTAGGCCGGGGCCATTGGTAATTGCCAAGCTGCCTTGGGCTGCTGTGAACTGAGGAGGCGGAGCTAGACTTTGTTGACACTAGGACTGGGATGGTCTCTCAAGTCTCCATGTGTCTCCCCAAGGATCAGGATACAGAGGACAATAGCAGGGAGACATGATAAAATTACAAAAAGTATGTTAGACAAATATATCCACTCATTAATAGTCTCTTAATTCTAACTTGAATCAGAAAGTGTTTGTCATCAAGTATTGTGTTCATGAGTCCACTTTCTAGTAATAATATGGCAATATTGCCCTTTTGCAGCAAAGACAGGTAATGCAAAACCAGAATGCACTAAAAAATATGAGAATTTATAATGTTTTAAAATTATGTCAAAAGGAGAGCAGCCAGGCTGATAAAATATGTCGGGATACCACAGTGACCTTCTCTGCAAAGCTTTCTTAGACCTGAGCAGACAGGGGCTTCCAAGTGCATTGAAGTGCATATGTAAGTAGTTACATTGTGTGTGTGTGTGTGTGTGTGTGTGTGTGTGTGTGTAGAAGAGTCTAAAGGATTCCATGGTTTAAATCTTAGTTACTGAGTGTTAACTATGTGCCAGGCACCAAGAACTTTATTGTGTTTTATTTCATTTTTACAATAACTCATATAAAAACCAATATGAGTTGGACGTTACAATTCTCATTGAAGACATGAAGAAAAACTGAAATAATTTGTCCAAATTCGGCAACTTCATTAAACACACACACAGTTTTTGAGAGGCGGGGCTCGAATCTGTAACCATGACGCCCCAGTGCTGGAGGGAGGTTCCTACACTCAGCTCAGTTTCCTTCAAACTGTCAAGTCCAGTGAGTTGACTACATGGTACTTATATTTTTCCATTCATGTTTGATTTGAAGAAAATCACACCACATGTCTTTCAAAACAACTTTCTAAACTGAAAATTCCCCAAGGTCAATTTTTATTTTAAACACAACATTTCAGTAATTCAAAAAAATGTAAAGAGAGAAGATAAAAACATGCTTTTAAGAGAAAGCAATAGGGCTTTGTTATAAGAAATGTATTACTTCAGCATTTGGAATAGAAAATGATGATGGGCCCAGACTTCTTTATCCACAGAACTGGAGAACACATCTGATGTCCAAAGGGTTACCTTCCAACAACCTTGTGTATATGTCTAACAACCACAGCATAACTTCCAGTTAACTCAGAAAATGCACTTGGGTAATTAACATTAATGATAGACTGACAAATGTAAAGTATTTAAAAGAACAAACCAAAACTATTTATTCATTAACTTGGCTTATAAACATGCCATCCACATACTGGAAAAGCTAATAATCGTTCTCTAATTGTGCTAATTATGTAATGACAATGTTGTAAATGTTTGTTTATATTATGTTATATTTCTCTGACTCATCTTATCATTAGTCAGACTTTGGACTTCTGCCACTGTGTACTCATGTGTACACTGGTACATGCCAAACTGTTTGAACAATTTATTTTTAAAGCTGGTTGTTAATGTGCTACTAGTATTCAAATCAGAAACTTACCACATCCTTAGGAGGAGGTTCTGCTTTCTTCTTCATCTTTTTACCCATTCTGCAAAAAGATGCAATAAATGGTTAAAGTGTCATTTACATATTTATATATATACAAACTCCTCAGTTACTTATGTCCTTAGGAAGTTTATTTCCTTTAAATTTTATCTAAAAATACTATGTGATGCGTGCAGAAATTACTGCACATGTATAAATATGTTACCTACCTCCCTATCCAAGCCATAATTTTAAAGTAACTGATTGATAAGACTTTTGGGTATTAGTCCTGGCTTCCAGTTTGGAAAGGAAGAGAATATGTTAGTGACATGACTTTGACCTTTTCACTTACCATGCTGATTGCTCAACTTATGTAGGGCTTGGGAGATGAAGTCCAAGTTATCTTGAGAGCTGCAAGAATGTTTTGCCACAAAAAGCGGGAATTTTTGTCTGCTTTCTTGCATCGAGCCATCCCAAGCACCTAGAAGAGTGTCTGGTGCATAGTAGATATTCAGCATTCATAAAACTAACTAACTCTGCTTTTCCTGGGAGTAAGGATTTTGTGAATTATACCCAAGATCTACCAACCCCAGATAAACATTCATGTCATTTTCCCAGATAACAAACTTTTCTCTAACATAATCTATTGCTTAATGAAAAGTAATTAAGAGTACAGAGAAATGCACTCTTAGGAAATCACAATTACTCCTTGCAACACCCTTTCCTACCTGCCCTCATGTGTCCATGCCTATGTGGAAAAAAACTCAAAGAAATAGTAAACATAGTTGGTATACTACAGAGGAATAACTCCACTTGGGTATAGAAAACATTCCAAGACATTGGTGGCTGTCAGAATAACCCTAAAAATCTTTCAGATTTTCTCCAGAGAGAACATGTGAGATTATGTTTGTCATTAGGCAATGTCTGATATTACTTTCCAGTTTCAAGGATATTACTACAGTCTCAAGACAAATCCCAAGAAAAAGAAAATCCCTGGAGAGAGTCCACAGTGCCAGGGTCAGTTCAGATCACTTGTCAAGGGAGAGAAGCAGCTCTTGGCATTAGAGACACTGACTAGAACTTATGACATATGTTAAAAAGCCACATGTTCACAGAAACCCACGGGGACTTCTGAAAGACATCTACTTCAGGTCCCAAACTTCAGGTTACATAACTTTTGAGATCTTTGATGGCCTGGGAAAGCTTACTTATCCAATGTATTAAGAAGTCAAAATGTATCCACATCTCCCATTATTTATAATTTTCACCATAAATAGTTTTAAAACATTGTGGTTGAAACCTCTCAGCAATCAGGTGCTTAAAAAGCACACCAGACTTCCAGCCAAGATGGAGGCGTAGGTGGAAATACTGTGCCTCCTCACACAGCCAAAATTAGAAACAACAAAGATTTAAAAACAAAAACACAATAAAACAGACAGAAAATTGAAGTGTACGGAAGTCCAACAACCATTCAACCAGACTGGTAAGAGGAGTGGAGTTGATAGCAGGTAGAGGGGGGTCATGGCAGGAAAAGGTGGTGGCTGGCAGCCCCAGCGCACAGGAGGCGTGAGTCTAGCAGACCCTGGGTGTGGGGAGGAAACAAGCAGACCCAGTGAGGCATGCAAGGCAGTTAGCTGACTGTGGTCACACATTCGCACGCAGATGAACCAGGCAAAAATGGGCAGTGAGACAGACCGTACAACCCAGGGCCCCAGCGCCACAAAATAAAGCCTAAAAGCACCGATTTAAAAGGTACCAGGAGAGACTACCAGCCTCACAGGAGAGTTGGTTAGAGAGACCCACAGGGTCCTAGAACATACACAAGCCCACCCACCCAGGAACCAGCACCAGAAGAGCCCAATTTGCTTATGGGAAGCGGCAGAGGGGACTGAAATCCAAGAGAGAGTGGAGCAAGCACCATTGTTCCCTCTCTGACCCCCTCCCCCCCCACACATACAGCATCACAACCCAGCAACTGGGGTGACCCACCCTGGTGAAACCTAAGGCTCCACCACTCATACATAATAGGCACAACCTGGCCAAAAAATTATGGCTCGAACAGAAGAACAAATCAAAGCCCCAGAGCCAATACTTTAAAGCGACCAAGAGATAGCCAACTTATCAGATGTACAGTTCAAAACACTGGTGATCAGGATGCTCACAGAATGGGTTGATTTTGGTCACAAATTAGATTTAAAAAAATGAAGGCTACACTAAGAGAAATGAAGGAAAATGCACAGGGATCCAATAGTGATGGAAAGAAAACTGGGACTCAAATAAATGGTGTGGACCAGAAGGAAGAAAGAAACAACCAAACAGAAAAGAATGAAGAAATAAGAATTCAAAAAAATGAGGAGAGGCTTAGGAACCTCCAGGACATCTTTAAACATTCCAACGTCCAAATTATATGGGTACCAGAAGGAGAAGAGGAAGAGCAACAAGTGAAAAACTTATTTGAGCAAATAATAAAGGAGAACATCTCTCCAAGCTGGCAAAGGAAATAGACTTCCAGGAAGTCCAGAAAGCTCAGAGAGTCCCAAAGAAGGTAGACCCAAGGAGGAACACACCAAGGCACATCATAATTACATTAATCAAGATTAAAGTAAAGGAGAGAATCTTAGAAGCAGCAAGAGAAAAGGAGACAGCTACAAAGGAGTTCCCATCAGACTTTCAGCTGATTTCTCAAAAGAGACCTTACAAGCAAGAAGGGGCTGGAAAGAAGTATTCCAAGTCATGAAAGGCAAGGACCTACATCCAAGATTGCTCTATCCAGCAAAGCTATCATTTAGAATGGAAGGGCAGATAAAGTACTTCTCAGACAAGGTCAAGTTAAAGGATTTCATCATCACAAGCCCTTATTATATGAAATGTTAAAAGGTCTTATTTAAGAAAAAGAAGATAAAAAACACGTACAGTAAAATGAAAGCAAACTCACAATTAATAACACCCACACCTAAAACAAAAACAAAAACAAACTAGGCAAACAACTAGAACAGGAACAGAACCACAGAAGTGGAGATCGCATGGAGGGTTATCAACAGGGGAATGGGAGGAGGAGAGAGGGGGAAAAGGCACAGAGAATAAGTAGCATAGATGGTAGGTAGAAAATAGGGGGAGGGTAAGAATAGTATGGGAAATGTAGAAGCTAAAGAACTTGTGACACATGGACATGAACTAAAGGGGAGAATGTGGGGGGAGGGGGGAGCAGGGTGGAGAGGAATGAAAGGGGGGAAATGGGACAACTGTAATGGCATCATCAATAAAATATATATTCTTTAAAAAGCACACCAGCCATAGACATTTTGCCCATAATATATCAAGCAAACAGAAACTATTTTGGACAAATGAAAGGCTATCCTATGATTGACCCCTAGAAAAAGAGATTTCATATCTCTTAATAACCAGTTCTGAAATACAACAGTCTTAAATTTAACAAAAGAACTCCTTGTGGATATTTGAGAAGCAATTAAATCACACCAGCATCAAGTTGCTTCAAGACCTCTGATTTTCATTCAGGAAACTGTTTTTCCTATTTCAGCACAGTGGTTTTGAGTAACTGCAGATTGAAGAGGGCAGACGTTGGAGGGTCCAAACATACAGGATCACAGTGATGCAGCTGGTCCTGGGCTCTGCTGTGAAGCAGGAAGTGTTCAGTTTGTGTCTTACTCACCGTATGGGTGTGATTGTTAACCAGGGAGGAAGTATACAGCTGGCACAGGCCAGGGACAAGGAGCCTTTGAGATGACCCTAATGATTAAAAAAATTGTACACCCATTTCACTTAAAACGAACATGAGACAATTAAGTTACCTTATACTAATTTACTCTTTGAAGATTTTCCTTTAACGCTACAGAGATGTTGAATTAAGAAGATAAATCCCTTTGACTTTCTGAAGCAAAAGACACCTGTTTCCCCTATTTTACCACCTGTCTTGATTTCTTTTATTGCACTAAAATATACATAAAACTTACCATTTTCACCATTTTTAAAAAAATATTTTATTTTTATTTTCAGAGAGGGGAAGGGAGGGAGAAAGAGAAGGATTGGAACATGAATGTGAGACAGAAACATCTGGCATGTGCCCTGACTGGGAATCGAACCAGCAACCTTTTGGTTCACAGGCCAGCACTCAATCCACTGAGCCACACCAGCCAGGGCCATTTTTGCCATTTTTAAGTGTACCACTTTATACAGGTAATACACTTCACTATAGAGAATTTGTAAAAGCCAAGAAGGGCACACGGAATAAAACAAATCACTTAGAAATAAGTTCTGGGAGAAAACAGTATTTTGATATAGTTCCTTTTGTGCGTGAGTTTTCTACAGTGACTTTACCATCCTCCCTGGATTTCTATTCCCTGTTCTCCCCTTCCTGGGACCATTCTCCTAATAAAGTCTTAAATTGATGAACGGATTCTAAAATTTCAGTCTCCATTTATTGCTCCAGTCATCTCCAATGGACCAGCATATCACGTCATTTAAAACGATATTTAAAAATCCACTATGCATCCAGCCCGTCTCCTATTGTTAAGAAGTTGTTTCCAATTTTATGAAATAACGGACAAGACAGCAAGGAACTTTAGACATAAACGAGAGAATCCTTAGGCATAAAAATCTTCATCCACATTCTCAACTGTTTCTTTAGGATAAATCCCCAGCTGCAGAATAACTAAAAGTTTCAACCTCTTCGCATTGGGTATGAAAACGAGTCAGCTTTAAACTTGCAGCTTCTTGACTATTGAAGAGGAAGCACAATTTTTTTTCATGAGTTTATTGACTATTCGTATTTCTCCTTCCTGAACTTTCAGCCTCGGCGATCTTAAATAGTTGCTAACGCGGAGATTTATTTTGAGAAGATTTGCAGGGGAGGAGGAGAGCTAGAGCAGACCCACTTCCTGAGTCAAGTATCTGAATCTGAACCCCTCGCCCTGCTTCTCGGGGTCTCAGTCCTGCTGCTTGTGACACGGGAGCTTACGAATCCCACCCCTACCCCGGCCTAAGCAGAGGTGACCACTAGCTGCCCCTGATGTCCCCACCCGCGCGGCACCTCCTCCGTCCCCAAG